TCAGAAGCATTGGATAGAGCTCCTCAACGACTACGACTACAATATTTTATATCACTCGGACAATGATAATGTGGTAGTCAACGTGTTTAGTACAAAAAGTGTAGGTATGTTAGCTCATCTAATGGTTTCTGAATGTAGGGTAATAGGAGCCGCACAACAGATGTGACTTCAAAACTTAGAGAGAATTACATGCTTGGCCTACCTGGCTGTTTAACCTGAATTGATTCAGAGAATAAAGAAAGCTTAATCCACTGATTCCACCCTAACAGCTCTTAGAAAGGATACAAAATAGGGAATAAATTTAGAATTTTGAGTCTTTGCCGATGAGTTGCTCAAATTTTAAGATAGAGTGTGTATTTCAGGTGACAGTGAATTGAAAATGGACATTATGATAGAGACTCATAGCTAAGAGTTTATCATGCATCCCGAAAGTACTGAATATATCAAAGTATGTAACCTCGATTTTGGTGGAGCGTGATGAAAAAAGAGGTAGCCGACTTTGTTTTCAAGTGTCTAGTATGTCAATAGGTTAAGACAGAGCATCAATGCCCAAACAGGCTACTTCAGCCATTATCGATCCCGAAGTGAAAGTGGAAACATATCATAATGGATTTCGTGACAGGGTTGCCTAGGGCACACTCAGGACATGATGCCATTTGAGTAATTGTCGACTGGATCACCAACTTTTCTCATTTCTTGGCTATCAAGATGACCGACCCCTTGAACAAGTTAGCAAAAATGTATATCCGGGAGATAGTTAGTTTACATGGAGTTCCAGTGACAATAGTATTAGATAGAGATCCCAGATTCACTTCTCAATTTTTGTCTAGTTTTCAGCAAGTTATGGGAATGAAACTATCCCTTTGTATCGCATTCCACCCTCAAACCGATAGACAATTAGAGAGAACGATTCGCATACTGGAGGATATATTCCGAGCTTATGTTCAACACTTCGAGGGCCATTGGGATGTTCATCTACATTTAATAGAGTTTGTCTACAATAACAGCTACTAGACAAGTATCGACATGACTTTATACGAGGCATTGTATGGTTGCCGATCTGTTGGGAAGAGGTGGGTAATAGAAAATTATTTGGCCCAGATCTCTTTGAGGAAACTACAGCCAAGGTAGTTAAAATTAGGAAGAACATCCAAACAGCTCAGAGTAGGAAGAAGAGTTATGCAGGCACCCGGAGGAGGGATTTAAAATTTGAAAAAGGTGATCAAGTGTTTCTTAAGGTCACAATTTTTAAGGGGAATTAGCAGGTTTGACAAGAGGGAGAAATTAAATCCCCGGTTCATTGGACCATTTGAGATCTTTCACTGGATTGGTACGACCATCTACAGACTAGCACTACCTCCAGAGCTATTTAGGGTTCATAATATGTTCCATGTATCCATACTACACAAGTACAACTCGGACCCCTCATACATCCTATTCCACGAGCCCTTTTCACTTTAGGAGGATCTATATTATAAGGAGGTGGCGGTAGACATTGTAGACCAGAAGAGTAAAGTACTTCGCAACCAAAAATTTTTTTTGGTCAAGGTCTTATGGCAGAATCATACGTATGAAGATGCCACTTGGGAACTGGAATCAAGCTTCAATGCCCAGTACCCTCAGCTGTTAGATTGAGTAAGAGAATGACTAATTTGAGGGGCAAAAAATTCTTAAAGGAGGGAAGATTGAAATTTTGAGAAAAAATGAATTAGGGACAAGATTGAAAATAATTTTGGGAAAAAAAAGTGAAATTTTGAGTTCGGGGGGTGTTTTTGAAAGAAAAATTTTAAACAGAGGGTTAAAGTGTAAAAAAAAAAAAATCGGTCACGTGGAAGGACCCAGTTAGCAATCCCGATGAACCAGAGCACGGTATGTGTCAAATACGCTGACGTCAGCACCATGTGGGAGGCCATACGATCTGCATGCCCAGCAATCCAACAGTCCAGGTTCAATCTACATGCGTGAATGACTCAGAATCGGTCCCTCTTAAGTGCGATCAGACGGACGAGATCAATTGTAATAAACGGTCAAGATTCGTTTCCTTATTAGGTGCGATAGGACAGACGAGATCAATCATGATGAACAGTCCAGATCGACACGGGATAGGTATAAATATCTTGCATTGTAGGAGAACCCAAAACCTACCAGCCAGCCCCTGCAGGCAAAGAAAAATAAGGCACTGGAGAAGGATGCTGACCACTGATTCTTGCAGCACCAGAGCCACTGCCGATTGCCAAAAAAAGTAAAATTTTCCCATACTCGCTCAGAATTAGATTTTTAGCATGTTTGTGTCAGAGCAAGAGGGATGGCGGGTAAGTTAAAAATCGTGGATAAGGCCCGGCAGAGTTGTTGCGGCCAAAACCCAAAAAAATTCCTCTAATGAGCCCTTCTTATTTCTCGTTTTACATGATTTTTTGATCATTGTGTTCTCCGTTCTTTTCTGTGTAGTTTAGCTGAAGAAGGAATCTCAGTCGCGAAGGAGGATCGGTGGAGTCGCCGGACCCAAACCCCCCCCCCCCTCTCCCAGGTTTGATTTTTGTGATTTTCTCACCAACGAAGGTCTCATAACATTTTTTTCTGCAGGGATACATGTAAAACTGGCAAAAACTGACCAAAATCGGCTAAAACTGGCTAGACCGACGCGAACCACCACCGTGGGTGGCGAAGGCGGCGACGTGCTGGAATCCCAAAATTGGCCGGAAAGAGATTTGGGCACCAATTTTGGATTTTTGAAATATTTTTAGGTACGTGACGAGTGTTTTGAATTCTGCAGGAAAAATTTAAGAAATTCAGTACCCGTTAAGAGGCGTAATAGATAACGCAACGTCTCGAAATATCGATCCAGGTAAGGATCCCTCACCCTATTCCTCGTTACAGTAAATTGAGACTTAGTGATGTATAATTTTATGTATTTGTGAAAAGTTAGAAAATCTTAAAAATAATTACATATTAGTAGTGGAGTCAAAACCGGTTAGTTTATAATTGTCTTAATATTTTATTTGTTTTCCTATACTATCCTACTTGCTTGTTATCGTATTGTACATGCTCTTAATTTATAGTTTCAATTGTCTAATCAATTTATCTGTTTTATTCAGTTATCTAGTTACTTGATTCCTTGTTATGATAAACTATATCATTTTCATAAATATCGTCTAATTGATCTGTTAATATAATATGAGATATTGGTATGCGTTTGTTGGTTGTTTTGCTTGATGATAATCTTTATGTGAAAGACTTACTGGGTACCCAGGGAAAGGGCGAACGACCCTAGTATATAAGGAACCCTACCGTGAATATCACCTCAATCAGACGGGGCTAGAAAGTCCCATACTGAAAATATTTCGGAGATATAGTTTACCCTTATACCGGATGGGGCATCGAGGCGATGGAATATTTAGTGCTCATTACTGAATAGGGTATAGGGATGATCAGTTAATTGTTAAAATTAGATATTAGGTTCACGAGTAGGGGGACATCTGTTGGACCCCCAGGAGTACCAGTAAGCAAGTAAGAAAGAAAAATTGTCGTTACTTATTCTCTTATGTGTGAAAATAAAAATTGGTATAAATATGAGTTTTCATAAGTTATTTTTGAAAAATTTGTAACAGTATGTATCAAACAAACGTCTTTGTGTTAAATGTATTTAATTAAAGTAAGGGTTCCATTAGTTATTTTTCTAATTTTTACAAATCTTCAGTTTTTCGTATATGTGATTAGTGTGATATTCTTACTGGGTTAGTGTAGCTTACATTTTTATTAACTATTTCAGATCAAGAAGACCAAGATTTAGATCCCGATCAGCAAGAGGGTTGTGAGTAGTTCATCACTCGGACTCCCTTCAACTACTAGTGAAGGTTGTCTTAAGATGTTTATTTATTCATTACAGTTTGTCTTTTAGAAGGGACATTCTCATAGCCCTATTAGGCATTCTAAATTATTGTGTAAGGAATGTAAACCCTAACTTTATTATTCGCTTCTGCATTTAAATTATAAATTCATTTCCTTTAAAGTTCCGGGCCTTTACATTTGGAGTGTTGCCGTTGGTTTAAAAATGCACATGAGAGATCTGTCTTAGACCACCCACGACGTTGCTTCTTTTTCTGCATGTTTTTGAATTGCGCACCTTTAGATCTATTCATGGTCGCAACTGGACAACATCATCTTTCTAGTTTCACTGATTGTCGCATGTCTTCCCTTTAGGCACGTGCAGATCAATGTTTTCATATAGATTCAGTTCTCTAATAAGCTAAATCGCTGCCCTCTTCTGTCAACCATCACCGCGACAGCGACGATAAGCTTCGTTTGTCTCTCTCTCAATCCAGAGATCTGATACCACTTATTGGAAAAATTAACCCTTAAACCGTGCACAATCACATGAAAATAAAAGTAGAAAAAGAATAATACAAGATTTAACATAGTTCAATAGTGTATTTTTATCTATGGGTAAACCTGATAAAAAAACTTTTTTATTATGATAATTTAATCGTACATCACCAATTTGGTCATAACCCTTAAATAAAAAAACTATGAGAGTTTTTTTCTACAAAACTCTCTAGGATATACATCAAATATTTTCAAAGATAAATACAAAATATCCCCAACATATACATAAAATATTAATTAAGATAAATATAAAATATTCATCTAAATATAGATAAGATATCCTTAAAATTCAAGTCACATTAATGTATATATATATATATTTTTATAAATAATCATTTGTTACAACAATACATTGAACAATCATCTTCAAATGAAAAAAGTTTCCTTTTTCCCCCTTTTCAATTTTGGGTTAAAAAAATCGCTATATGCGGTATGTTAATCTCACCTGTTGGATATGCTATGTATTATGAAATTTTTTCAGCAGATGATTGGATTCTTACATAATATCAGAATCCAATTAGATAACAGTTAAGTTTTCTTTAACAAGATAAATGAAGCCCTAATGACAGCTTATAAAATTGACTCGTTGGAATGATGAAGCAAAGGCAGAGGAAACGATGGAAGCGAAGGAAGGAAGAGTAGAGGAAAAGTCATTTGTGGCGCCGTCAGTCGAACTTTCTCTTGGAATTGGTGGCAGTGCATTGATGGAGAATTCTCTGGCAATGGCAGATAAGAGAATCAGATCTGTGTTCACTCCAGCGCAGTTTCAGGAGCTTCTGCAACAATTTATGATCTTTAGCTACCTTTTAATTGGCTTCGAGATCCCTTCGTATCTTATGGCCACTCTGTGGAATACTACTTCTTCTTCATTTGGATTTGCTTGCACTGATATCCATAAGCGCTTGCCTAATTGTGAGTTAATTTATTTTTTTATTTAAGATCCTTGATTTTATCTGATCGTTTTCATTGTTCTTGCTTTTGTTTTTGTTGCTTTGATCCGATGAGATTGATATGTTTTTGTTATTTTGTTACACATAATACATTTAAATATTACTAGATCTTTGAAGTCTTATTTAATTCTTTTAAGCGAGAAAGATGATTGGTGACTTTTTGTGATTATTAGACATTAAATATAGTCTATATCCGTGTTGATAAGATTATAGAAATCGAAAAAGGTTAATTTTCATTTATTATGTACAAAAGATAATTGGTTACTTTTGAGATCATTAGACATCAAATATAGTTTATAAACCTGTTGATAAGATAATAGAAGTGAAAAAAGTTAATTTTCACTTACCTAATTCTTGAAAAAAGAAAGACTTAACTCATGATAAACAATCTGAGTGACTTAATAAACTCCGATCACTTTGATCTTATTAACTTAAATAATTGATGCATAATTAGGTTAGATTGCTTCGTGATTTTTTTATTAAAAGAAGTTAAGACACTTTTTAATTTTTAATTAAGTGAATCTAAACATTAGCATGCATAATTATTAACACAAGTAAATACCAAACCCTATAAGCTAAGCAGCAATAGTAGTATTATTAAATAGAAAAATCATGAGCTGTACTTAACTTTTTACTTATAAGTTCTCTACGTCTCTAATCTTTATATACATATATATATATATATATATTCATGTTTTAATTTGTTTGCATTGTCCCCGTTATAGTTGGAAGATTCAACTCCTGGACATTCTCGAGAAACAGAAGCATGCAAGATCTAGAACCATGGAGGTGCCAAAGAACGGATCGGAAAAATGCACGATCCAGCAATGTCATTATTCCTAACGAGAAGTACAACGAACTAAATATGCAGAGAGCAAAATACGACTCAAGAGGTAATGTTGAACAATCTCAGTCCTTGTACGCTAAATCTAAAAATGATATGAATGTTTTAGAAAGTAGGATTTATATTATCTTGTTACTCCTTCATCTTCCCATAGTAACTCCATTAATATTTCAGCCACTACCAGTAACTTTCCGATTATTGAGAGCAGCAACATTAATGTCCCAAGAGAGAAGAACTTCTTCCCAAGCAGCGCCTACAACAACAATACTGGTTTCAACTATGCTGGTGCAGGAAAAGGTCAGTTTCCTTTACTTTTCTTTTGACTATATATATATATATATTACATGATACATAATTAGGAACATAATACTATTAACAAAATATTAGTCCTAAAAGAATTGTAAAAATTAATTCCAAACCAATATGCATGATTTTAAAAGAGTAATTAAACCTAAACTTTATATTATAAATTCAAAAAATTTGTGAAATTAAATATTATAAATTTTATATTTAATTCAGTTTGGAGACAAAAATTGACAAAAACAGATAAATATTAACTTGGTTAGAGTTTAATTAATCCATGTAAAAATATCACTGGTTCTGTGGGGATTTAGAAAGTACTGTTTTAATTTTACATAATACTTTTTGCGATTTCAAAATTTTAATTATTTTATGGAATAATTTTACTATTTCTTATTTGAATTTCTACAAAAATTCAAAAAAATTTCTAGACATAGCCTTAGTATTGAGAGTGAAGAACTAGTTTTTTTTTTTAATTCTATATTCTAAATTGAGACTTGGTAGTTGTTTTAAGCGAAAGAGTTTTGATATGTACTTTTCTTATTAAATCGGTTGTAACGAGAATATAGTAGATGTTTTCGCAGATATAGATAAATAGACAAAAACATGTTGTTTTATATTTTTATTCTTTAATTTTACACAAACTCCAGATAACTATTGTTACAATCTTGATGATATCGATTATCTAAATTTTCAATACTATAGAATAAAAAAAGAAAAACTCTTGATTGTCTTTTACTTGATTATTCTTTAAGAAACTTTTTCTTAAGCACAAATTTCATTTTACAAGTTTGTTTTCTATATGAAATATGTTCCATTTCATATTTTTTTTTTAATTTTTTAATTTTTTAGTTTATTATCCAGGCGGTTCATTCACTTATAAAAGTACTGAAATAGAATTTGAACCAATAAGGTGTAAAAGAGTAGATGGAGGGAAAGTTCGCCTACCTGAAATTGATTTTATTTCCAATATGGAAAATATGACGCAAGACATGTATCGAGGTATTGTACCAAACGCACTCAATATCAAACATTTACAAACTCCTTTTCTCTCCTCAACTGCTGTTGTTATTAGTTGTCTCACAAGCACATCTAAAGCTATAGATGAGAAAGATTATCCAACAGTAAACACCGAACTCTCTCTTACCATCCCAAGACCTCCAAGTTTTTCGAAGAATAAAGATAAAGGTATTGTTATCAACGAAAATAATAATATTACTCCTATAGAAGAATGAAAATAGTGATATTGTTATGTAATTTGATAGTAAATTCTAGGACATCAATAAATTATTATGATATGATATTAATAATAATGTTTTTGAGATATAAAAGTTTGAGATGATCAATGAGTACTTCATGATGTAAAATCTCTTAGTAATTTGAGATATTTCTGCAAATCTTATTAATAACTTGGAAAAGCCCTTAGTATTAGTTCTTATATCATTATACATTTCTCGAGTGAGATTCATAGACAATCTATTATGATACATATCATTAAAGACTATAGATATGTAATATAGTATTTTTTC